ATTGAATTAAATATCAATCGAACATGATTTGCAAGTCATTGCATTCTATTTTTATTCATGTTAAACAGAACATCCCAACTTCAGTGGAATTGACTTTGTACTCAGAGGAATTCTCATGATGTAAAATTCGTCGTCGCTCTTCACTCACACTTCCTCTCGCTTTTTGCTGACTGTGTCTGTTTCTGTTCTTCAGGGAGATGTGTCCCGCGCATCAGACCGTGGAGGAGGCAGCGCCCCGATGAGGCAGTGTAACATCAACTTGCCAGATGGCTCATGTTGCTCTGTGCCGCTGAGGGCTGGTTTGTCCATCAGAGATTTGTTGCTGGGGCTGTGCGAAAAGCTCTGCATCAACCTGGCAGCCATCGACCTCTTCCTGGTCGGAGGGGAGAAGGTACAACACAAATAGACGCCATGCTTACAAAAGGATTTAAGTCACAATATTTTGGTCCCAAAAACTCACATGTTGTTTTCTGTAAGCTGTACTGATAGCTGAAAGATGGATCGTAATGAGTTCAAATAACTGTAGGCCGGTGCTGGCCAGCCCCCAAGTTCAAAACAGTTATTCCCATGGGAAATGCTGTGCTAGGAATAAATCCTTCATTAACTGTTTTGGCTATTTGAAATAATATTTTACTTGTCACACCAGCGCATAAATAAGTTAACTGCGGTTACATTTTAAGATTGATGACATCAAAAAATGTTAACTGTAATGATGAATGCAGAATCGAACAAGTGTAAAAAGAAGTTAACCACTGGAAACACACACACACACACACACACAAAATGTACCTTTATTGAAAGTGGACGCTATAGCTTGAATATATACTTTTATTTGTCTGTAGTTCAAGTTCTTATTTGTATGATCTCAGTGGCATTTGGGAGGTTCCACTGGAGGCAAAACGTGTTTCAAAATTCCCACAGCATTTCTATTCATTCTGTTTTGTGTAAATGTACGAACGGTCTCAATATATCCAACATGTGTGCACTCCATTTAAAAGGCTGATAAACTGTTTTTTTGTTGTTGTTGTTTACATGTTCATTTGGAGTTGCTCTCCCACCCCTAATTTTAGTCAGCTTTTGTAGAAATCAGAATGAAAAAGTTGGCATCACCAAAGCATTTTATGACTTCGTTGTTATTATTTTTATTTTTCCAGCCACTTGTTTTGGATCAAGACTGCATGACGTTGTGTTCTCGAGACCTGAGACTTGAAAAGCGCACTCTCTTTAGGTCAGAAAATTTCTATCCTTTTATCGTGACTTATACTGTTTTGACATCAAGTTTTCAACATTTTGAGCAAGTCTTTCAAGCGCTGAATTCTGATTTCCGCTTGTTCCAGGCTAGATTTGGTCCCTATTAACCGCTCAGTTGGCCTAAAAGCAAAGCCCACCAAGCCAGTGACGGAGGTTCTCAGGCCGGTGGTGGCCAAATATGGTCTGCACCTCTCAGATTTGGTGGCCCGCATTGTGAGTCTCGTTCTCGAAAGCTAGAACATTGCAAAGTTGCATTAGGTTGTATCAATTGTCTCTCTGAATTCCCTTTGTGTTTATTTGAATTTGTGTGTTTCAAGAGCGGTGAATCTGAGCCCTTAGATCTCGGGCTTCCGATATCCAATCTGGATGGACTGAGAGTGGTATTGGATTCAGCAGATCACATGCCAGGAAAAGGTAATTAAAAAAATAGTCCCACATTCAGTTTTCTGTTCACAGAAAAAGGCGTATTTTGAATCGAGTCACTGCACATTCCCTTCACTTTCTGTCCTTCAGCAACGTCGAACAGCCACATTGGGGCTTCCGCAAGCAGAAACCAATCAACACCAGTAAGATACCTCTCAGCTTTTATATCATCTCCTGACTCTGGAATGTTTCATAACTCACCGAATGTCTCCACTTCCTGACGATGACGTCACGCTACTAAGTGTCTCCCCCCGCTGTCCTGAGTTGACCCATGTCTGTTTGCAATGTATTATAAATGTGCACAGGTGTATGAAGCCTGTCTATGGCAGCATCCGGCCCGTATGTCTCTGTCTCTGTTTTTTGATGTTGGGCAGCGAGCCACGTCGCACTCTCCAAGATTCTCTCTTGTTCTGTTTTTGTCTGCGGTCCAATGCATCGGCAACTTTTCCAACTGCTTTGTTCTTTCTTTCTTCTGTTATCAGGCCTCTGACCAAGCCATGCCACTGTTGGCTATTTAAAGTTTCAAAAGTTCCATCTGGAAGAGAATTAGTCGGTGGTGGGAGTACAAAAGCCCTCGATTGTAGATGCTTTGGTCTCATTTTTGACAATCCGCAGTGGTTATTTTTTTGGGGCTATTTTTGGGTTGATTTGCTTGCGTAGTGTGGCTTTACATTAGTTGTTAGATGTTGTGGTGTGTGTCACAGTGTTGGTGGTGCATTGTACTGATGGTTCTAATATGTGGTGTGCGTTTCATACGGCATTAAAAAAATATATATATATTAAATCCTTTATAGCAGCGGCCCACAACCATTGGGCAATGGATCATTTATTCCCAGGTTTAAAGACCTTAACTTGATTTTCCCATTTTATTCTTATCAAACTATGGATAAATGAAACCCACATGCGATAACGTGTTAAAGCAATTAATATTAATAAGAAGAATGCGGAGATTCTTAGACAACAGCCCAATGTTGAATAATCTGAAGACGTACTGACAAAAAGAAGGCTGTATTTAAAATAAAACACCCCATCTGACTCATTTCACACTTTTGAACAATTTTTCTAGACCACCGGTCTTGCAAATAAGACAGTGACCATCCAGCAGCACAAAGTGCTTTGATGCAGACTCTTTCATTTTTAGTGAACTCTCAACCTATTACCATTTCGAATGGGAATGAGGAATGTCAAATGAAGTCACCTTCATGTAGGCAAGATTCAATTGTGTCTCATCAATTCTGCAATATCTGTCAGTCATTGTCTGGTTTGGTCCATGAAAAACCGAAAGGTTGGAGGCCGCTGCTCTACTGGACACCCTTTGAAAGACTTGGAAATCCAGTGTTTCAGCCCTCAGTGGTTATTTAAGTAGCCTGCATTGCATTGATGATTTATATTTGAGAGTATTTTGTGTTTCCATTCTTATAGTTATAACACTGTTTGATGATGATATCCATTTTCTTTTTCAACTTTTTTTCTTCACTGACTGCCCGGTCGAAATCAAGCACTTCTTTTGCCTCCTAATGAGCTACTGTACGTAAGGTCCAAGCTACCAAAAAGCGCAAACTCGTTATGGTGAAGGGTCCAAGAAGACCATTGGTTGTTAATCCCATCAAACCCACAAGCGCGCCACCAAGATGCATTTTAATAGCCCCTTTTCACAAAAGCGGCCCCCCACGCTCCATCAAAATGCTGTCATGCTGGTCTCCATCAGTAGCTCTAGTCACTAGCCCTGCTGTACGTTGACACCTCTCCGCTCCGCTCTCCTTGTGGCTCCCAGGGGGAGGACAGGCAGTCAAGGAAAGCCGCTTCCACCCACCCCCATGGGGAAAACGGCAAGGCCGGGCCCAGCCTTGACACAAGGAGCCAGGCCTTACCCAACCACTCTGTCTCTCTTCATAAGGCTCCGGAGAAAAGAAAGCAGAAAAAGATTAATATAGACGAAGCCGAAGGTAAAGATACAAAGACCTCCCTCTTCTTTCTTTCTTCGATTGTCTCCTGAAGCTGTGTTGCTGTGATGACACTAACTCGCTGGCATGTGTGTCGTACCGCAGGAGCATCACTAGCTAGCTCGCTATATGTAGCACAGGTGCCTTTGCTTACACTGAATGAAGCTTTGACTTGCCAAACTGACTCCCTCTGCTTGCATGCTGCCCGATCTCCAACAACGAGCAATGTTTTCACCTGCGATTCGGGTGGTTTATTTACATGTGTTTCTGTGCTTGTGTTTGCACATGTATTTTTGCATCGGTGTGTGTGTGTGTGTGTGTGTGTGTGTGTGTGTGTGTGTGTGTGTGTGTGTGTGTGTGTGTGTGTGTGTGTATCCAGAGTTCTTCAACCTCATTTCCAAAGCTCAGAGCAACCGAGCTGACGACCAGCGAGGCCTGCTGAACAAAAGTGACCTGCAGCTCCCAGACTTCCTTCGCCTGTCACCGTCTGCGACCGTCCGAGCTGCGCCTCCGCCCTTTGACCCCGAGCCCTGTTGCTCCACCCCTCATTCCCGCAACCCTGCCAATGGCGGCGCTCACCTGGGGAACAAGGCCAGCCACAACGACAGGGCAAGCGGCGGCCATTTTCTCAACGCTCATCATCAGTGTCAAAGTTTGGACTCTGCGTTGGGCTCTGACATTGGAGGGTGGGGGAACGCCAGACCCACTTCTTTGCCGTTTCCTGCCACGATCTCTCCCATCCACCCGTCCCAGGAGGTCCAGCATGGTGCACTCAAGGACACTGGCAGGGGGGCGTCAGTCCAGATGCTAGAAGAGGACGCCTTGTCGGAACTGACTCTCGTGGGCGAGGCAGACATCAGTAGCGCCAGCCTCAACTATGTCACCCCCTCCAGCCTGCAGTCTAAACCCCACCCCCAACCCCAACAGCAAGCACAGAACATTCGGCCTTGCTCAGGTACTTCCCCCGTTTGACCTTTCACCTCTCCCTTCAACTGACTGCGAGTGGCATTGGCCTCTTTCAAGTCAGTTTGACGTTTTCAGTTGAGACCGAATGCATCCGCGTCTCCTCCCTTCCTTTAGTCAGCTCAGTCCTAACTTGCGGGACAATTAAAAAAAAAAAAAAAAAAACACTCCCTGTGGTACAGAAGCATTCCGTTTCTTCGGTGTAGCTGTTCAACAGCTGACACCACAAATGTGCTTTGTTGTATTATAATACTAATGTATGCACTGTGACCTGCCGCCTAAGTTGGCCGGACACAGGAAAGGAAGCTGAAGCGAGGATGAATAGATGCATTATGATGAAAGGTCACAAGTTGTCCTTGGAATTTTCCGACGTGGTGTGTATCTGTGTGAACCTTTGAGCTGGCTTGCTGTGGATTTTCATTTTTCTTTCCCTGAGATGTAATCGTGAGGGGGAGTGCAGGGAAGACCTGTGCCAAACTCTCATCCAACTCCCCTCACCAAAAGAACATAACGATGCACTTTAGCCCATTGCGAACAAGACTCTACACATTTGTACACGTGTTGAAATCACCTTGACAGTACAAGTATATTCACGCTAAAAGAACG